AATATCCTGTTATTTCAACTAGTTGACCATTGTGTATTAAAAATAGAAAAATCCACTATCAGATTCATCACTTATCGCAGCGACTTTTCTCTTTTTTTTCATTTTACGTTTTTTCCTAGCAGATTTTTAGTATATTTTTGTAATACTTACTATTTACAATATTTTTTATCAGTTATTTAGAGAGAAAAAAATGAATACGGTAAATTGAACTAGTCCTTTTTATCTAACAGTGATCTTGTGGTCCGTTTTAATTAACAGAGTGGATATGTTTTAAAACAAATCTAATTAAATGTGACCTATAAATGCTGGCAATCGTTTTGCGTATGTTCATTGTAGATAAAATGGCGCTTGTAAACTGTAAATTACACAAACTTTATACTTACCTCTAACTCAACTACACCCTCAACACGATATAGACACGGCAGCGTCTCCAGCTAAGTTCAAAGAAAAAGGAACATGTCGACACAGCGGCGAGCGTAATATTACACGAATCATTTCAAGCTACTTTTGATGCCCTACCACTCAAAACCTATTTAACCTACATACATGAAATTTGATAGAGTTATTAAAGGCTTAGCTTGTTTAGAATCCATAATATCATAAACTTGATATTTGGCATGAAGGTAGACTATTAGGCTTATATGCTATAGGCAAAAATGTGAAAACTGAAAATTACTGATAATAAGTATCAAAAACGAAATAACAAGGTTAAGTATGAAAGTAGGTAAATATATTTTTGTATAGGAGGATGGATTAAAAGTTCGCGGCCTCAGCAAGAAAACAATATAAAATATAAACAAAAGTAATTTTATTTTTCTAAGTAATTTCCACTTAACTCAATGCACTTCTTCCATCTGGTTTCCAACGCCTGTATACAAGTCATAAAAAAAGTTTTAAGTCCTTCAAAAAAGCCACCCACCGTAGCTTCGACCTCCTCATTTGATGAAAATTTTTGACCTTCAAAGTGTTTTTTTTAGGTTTATATTAGAAATAAAGTCTGAAGGTGCCAAATCAGAGGAATAGGCGGGATGGGGCAGTAATTCAAAACCACAATCACGAATTTGAGCCATAGATTCAACAGACGTGTGAACGCGTGCATTATCCTGATGGAATAACACTTTCTTGCTGAGTAATCCTGACCTAATCTCTTTGACTGTTTCACGCAAACGACGTAAAAGGGTGCAGTAATAAGCCGAGATTATAGTTTCACCTTTTGCAAGGTAGTCCACCATGATGACTCCCTTAGCATCCCAAAAAACTGACGTTATCACCTTGCCAGCTGACAAAATTGCTTTGGCTTTTTTTGGAGTCGGTTTTTCAGGTTTTTTCTACTGCTTCGATTGCTGTTTTGACTCTAGGGCGTAGTGGTGTACCCAGGTTTTATCCATTGTCACAAATCTGGTCAAAAAATCTTGTGGATCAGCCTCAAACATTTTCAAACAGTCGCGAGCAATCGTGAACCGTATTCGTTTTTGTTTAACTGAAAGCAATCTGGGTACCCACCGCGCAGAAACCTTAGAATCCTGTTTATACGAGATGCAAATAGTATCTGCAATCTCCCTGATAGTCAATTTCCGATCTGCCAATATCAGATCACAAGATTTTCCTAAAGTTTTCTTCAGTCGTAGACGTCATATAGGCCGGCCGGAGCGAGGGTCATCTTCAATACCTTCTCGTCCGCGTTTAAATTCTGCAACCCACTTTTTCACAGTCGTATAAGACGGAATAGATTCCCCCAATGTTGTTGACATATCATCGTAAATCTCTTTTGGGGTTAGTTTTTTTTAAACAGGTATTTGATGACTGCACGTTGCTCAATTTTCTCCATTCTTTAAAAACGCTGCATTTAGGCTAACAAAATTCAGTTTAATTTAAAAACAGATAATGCTATTGCGATAGAATTTTACAATGTGACAACCAGAGTTATTCTCTGGTCTCTGGCAAATCGAATGAGGTCAGTTACATTAAAATAGTTCAAGTATTTATGTGTTAGGTCGCGAATATTTCGATCTACCCTCGTATAGTATATACAGGGTGTAAGGGACAGGTTGTCAAAAACTGAAACTGATTTCGGATCATTATTCTGGACTGAAAACCAGTGAAAATTCTTTCCGGAAACATTCAAGCATTTTTCCTATTGTTTTTTTTTTATTATATATAAACATGATCTTAGATTATATAGATAGAACGTCTCCATACAAATGCTTCGAAAAAAGCACGTCAACTTTTTCATACATTTGTGTACGTGACGGAGTTACCAATTTAGAAATTATTTTAAAGTAAATTGGTGAAAGTCGTAACTTAAAATATTATTAGGATTAAATAATCCTTTATAATATTTACCTTTATTTATATATTTAATAATTTATTTATATATTATTTACTTATTAAATATAATGCGTAGATAAATAATAAAAATGCGGAAATAGAACGTCACAATTCTTTCATATTGCTTTAAAAGCTAGTAAAATTTTGAAGTAAAGGTTGTAAATCGCTTTTATGTGGTCCTTTGTATATTTTAAATATGAACAAATAATGTTACTGAAAGTAACGGCCATTTTGAATTTATTTTTACTTAACTGATTTCTTTGAGTATCTCAGAATATCTCAGTATCTTTGTAAATTGAAAACATGTATCGGTTTTACAATTAATTAAGGTGGTAACTTGCAATGAAGTTGACTAAATGTAAAAAAATATTAAATTGTGTTTTATCTTATAATTAATTATTCATTAAAATTTATTATTAAGTTTAAATTCTTAATGCCATTTTGTTAATCCTTATTCAAATAAATACTTTTATCACTTTAAACAAATCTAGTGCCTACTTACTTGATTAATTCTGACACCTGATATAGATCGTATTTGAAGTGTATGTAGATTCTCAGATACCGATTTTGAAAGCAATTGGTCAAATAATAAATAAAATAAAAAAAAAGTGATCGGTCTTATTAATTGTGACAGCGGACTCATATTTGAAATATATACAGATCTTCAGATATCGATTTTGAAAGCATACTCAATAATATCTCTGTTTACTTACCTATGTAAATATTATATTAAATATAATATATGTAAATTAAAAATAGCATAAATTACAAATTTTAATTAAAAAAAATAAATTCTTATTGAAAAATTTCACCTTATTTGGGGAATTTTAATTCAATTGGGGGGAATTTTTTCGAATACTTGTTACATTAAAAAGTGCGCGAATTTATTATAAAAGTAATGTGAATATTTTTAATTGTATTTATGCCTAAAATTGAAGATATTTATCGGTTGGAAGTGATTCCTTTATTAGTTCTATTTTTTGTCTTATGTTTACTCTTTTTTAGTGCGCAAAATCTTATTTTATTTATTAAATAATTAAATATAGTACGTTGTGTTACCGTGTGGTCCCGGCATATAATAATTCACCCTCAAGTAAGGTGAGTGTCGTAAGAGGCGACTAAGGGAGGGCGAGGGATGGGCAGCAGCGTCCCTCTTAAAACATTTGTAAAGCTTAACTGCGGTTGCCAATTCGCCCGCCAAGCGTGGCAATCACTGGCAACACCCTCCCCCCCCCTAAGGAGGAGGCTTATGTTCAGCAGTGGACAGTTAAAAGTTGATATGATGATGATGAATACGTTGTGTGCGTAATTATATAGAACACTTTTAAAAAAAGAGTCAACTAATTTGACAATTAGCTGACAAAAAGTTGAGACCGTTTTTGAGGCTCGAGATTCTTATCTATATAATCTAAGTCTATAATGTATTATAATTTATTATAATATAAAGAAATAATAATATTTTATAGTAAAATACTATAAAATATATAAAAAAAACAGCAGTGTAATACACGTATCAAAATCCTACCGCGACGCGCGGAATCAGCTGTGTAAGCTCAACACCCCAAGCGTACGAAAACTACCTACGATGAAAGGTGCCATTGAGTGTGCGTTGGTATCGCGCGTCGTGTGTATTGTAATATTTGAAGTCAAAACTAAGAATCGTTAATTATATGGCTGTGGTGCATTTCCGATGGGAAAACAATTTGCCATTTGATTCAGATCATTTATTTGGATTAGCTGTTTTGTTTTGACCAACCTGTCTCTTCCACCGTTATTCCATATACGGGGTGTTCCAGAAAGAATAACAGTCTGCAGATACTTCATAGTAGGGCTATTGGGGACTCAAAATATGAAATAAAAAAATCTTAGGTTATTGTACTTGACTCTCATTTCATATTTATGTTATGGATGAGATAGAATTTACATTAAAAATATAAACAGATTTTTTAAACGTGTCTTGTCACGATGAAAACAATATGGCCAATGTACAGTGAAGTTAGAAGCATATCGCTTGGCATTGGCAATATTAAAATTGATGAACTACTTTTTAAGATATAAATGTGGTCTAGTTTAGTTGCCGGCCCAATATTCTTTATTTTCGCCTTGTCATTTATATATCTATGACATTAATAAATATATAAAACATCATATAATAATATTATACAGTAAATAGAAGCTTAGAACTTTTTATTCTGGCAATTTTTTTATTTTATTGAGTAATATTTAGAATTTTAACAATGGACCGTTTTGCTTGGCCTATTTTGTTTATAAAAATATTTTCTCTAAATATGCTGATTTTATTTTGTATACAGACTTACTTAGTGCACTGTTATTACAATGTTATGTAATGCCAATTATTAAACATGTTATTTGTACTATGTTTTTTCTACACTTGTCACTATTAGTATGTAAACTATCTTGGCGTGTATTTTTATCAAAATAACAACTAAATCAGTTAAAAAGGTTTTTAAATTATTTTATTTGTTTATTATTAATACTACCTTTTGTTTCTTCTATTTTAAAGTGATTGAATTCGATAAAAATACATGCTGTTTTTTGTATACTAACAATACATTTCTACTAATTATCCTAGTTTATGCCATAATTTATTTTACTAATTACTAACGGTGTGGTGTTATTATGTTTATTTTTTATATCACTGTAATTTTCAGCCTAATGCCATTGCATCAAGCCCATTACTGCCCGAAGAAATAGCCAAGGAAATTAAGACTGAAGACCAAATCCTAGCGCAAATACGGGGAACGCAGAACATCAGTTCACAGCCAAATATTCCCTTTATCAATGATCAGCCAGTAGCAACATTGTCATCTACGAAGCCCTTCTCGACTTCGGAAAATATAACACCAAACTTGGAAGTACTGCAGAAGCTTATGTACGAAAAAGACATCATAAAACCCGCTGCCACTGATAAAAGTACACCCAAAGAATCTTCGGTAAATTTTATTAATATACTTTTTACAGCATTCAGCATACATAGTTTTCTTGCTTAAATACTTCTCTATTAGTATACATTGAACTTTTAAATAGAATTGTATATAGGCCTCCCCCTAAGGAAGGATTTGCCAGTATCTGCTACGTTTGATAGGCGGGCTGGCAATCGTAGTTAGGCTTTGGTGATTTTTCAAGTGGGACGCTGCCGCCCATTCTTCGACCATTAAATTTTCTTAGTCGCTACTTCCTATGCCCACAAGAATATAATGGCCCATTCTATGCCGTGACTACATGGCTAATTCGTTCCTATACTATACTGTACTCTAAATATACGCCTTTAGATGTTCTGTCACTTTTACATTTTACCTTTACTACTTTCTGTCACTATTAAAACTGAGTCGATTTTTTTTTATGAAAGAAACAATAAAATCTCCGTGTAAATTCTTCATTAACATTTTCGTTTTTAATATAGCGGTTGAAATATCAACGATGAATCAATATAATATGCAATAAATATATAATTGTCAGTATTTGTGGCGTTAATTAATTATAATATGGTATACTAGGTCCAATCAAAGCCTGAAAGGCATGCAAATCCACCGCCTGCAGAAACAATCGGCAAACCTCAAATAAATCAAATTAAATCAACCGTTGAATCCAAACAATCGAAACAATCCAAGAACGAGTCCGAAAAGGCTAAGAATAAAGATAATAGTACTAAGAGCAAAACGAAGAAGAGTAAAGAAGAGAAGAAAGATGACAATGAAGTGAAAAAAGAAGAAGATACAGTCAAAAGTGAGGTCAGTAATAAATAAGATGTATAATTCATCTTATGCTAGCCCATATTTATTACAGTCTTTTACAGACCGTAACTAAGAAATATTGTACTGTGATGGTACAATAATATGTTAATATTATTGTTATATGTTAATCGCCTTTTGGTATTGACCAAAAGGCGAATAACATATTCATATTTTCAAAGTGTCGTATGCAAATCAATACAATGTATGTGTGTTGCTAAATTATTTGTATATATAATATTTCGACATTTTATCTTTTATATCGAAAATTTGTATATTTCGATATTCTATAAAAAACTTGGACTTGCAATATATAAAACGTATACGTAATCTATGAAATATAGTTTATTTAATTTTTTTGTTCCTAGGCTATTTTATACTATACCGATTACACAGTCGGTTATGTGATTGAAAGATGAGAGCAGGGAAGAGATAGAATTGATTATATTTATTTACAATAAACGGCACGAACAACTGTTAAAAAAAAACAAAAACAGCAGAAAGAAAGTAATCGCCGAATTACTGGTTACTGAAGCATTCATCATCATATCAGCTTTCAACTGTCCACTGTTGAACATAAGCCTCCCCCTTGGGTGGTTTTGTCAGTAGTTGCCATGCTTTGCACTCTTACGACACCCACGGCAAAGTACTGAATACTATAATTCTGATTTTACTATGATTTCTATAATATACTCTTTTTTAGTTAAAGACTGGTTATAAATAATTTGAAATTTCCTGTGAATACTTTAAATGATCCAAGAATAAATAAATATTTCAATGGAGGTATTCACAGTATATGATCTATACAATTCCTGAATATTGTATACATTGCCTAGTTATTGTATTGAACACCTGAATTATTCAGATTGTTGTTAACATTTATAGTGTATATATATTACACACCATAAATATTGACTGTAATCTGAATAATTAATTATAGGGTATTAAAATCTAGATGTATTCTTCGAATTTAGTGCCAACTATCATCATTAATATCATATCAGCCGTTAATTGTCCACTTCTGAACATAGGCCTCCCTCATACTTGCCAGTAGTTACCACGTTAGGCAGACGGATTGGCAACCACAGTTAGACCTTGGTGTTCTTTTAAAAGGGACCCCAACCCTGGACGATTAAGTTTCCTTAGTCATCTCTTACAACACCTACGGGAAAGGGATTTAAACATTTGGCATTGCCAAAAATGTTACATAAAAGTATCCTTTGTATTAATTTATATATATATAAAGGATATCTTTTGTGTTTTCGAGAGTCCTGACTAATCGTCTTACGCGCAAACTCGACGACTTCTAGCCACCCGAACAAGTTGGCTACCGAAATGGCTTTAGCACCATAGACCACATACATACGCTACGACAGATTATACAGAAGATCAAAGAATATAATCTGTCACTATGTTTTTCGTTTGTGGACTATGAGAAATCCTTTGATTCGGTTCAGTCATGGGTGGTACTACAGTCCTTCTAGTGGTGCCAGATTGACTATAGGTATATCGAAATGTTGAAATGTATGTACAGTAAGGCTATGATGTCTATCCAAGTACAGATCTAGAAACGAAACCCATCCAAGTGCAGAAAGGTATAAGATAGGGTGACGTCTTATACCCGAAACTCTTTATACCTGCATTGGAAGATGTTTTCAAACTTTTGGACCGGAAAAGATATGGTATAAACATCAATGGTGATTACATCACTGACCTTTGATTTGCCGATGACGTAGTTATCATGGTGGAATCCCTGGAGGATCTGAATACTATGATTAATGTTCTCAGTGGTGTTTCTCAACAGGTAGGTCTTACCTAACAGGTAAGAGCTACTGTTTTAATATGAACATGGACAAGACTAAAATCATGTCTAACGTCTATGTCACACCTATACCGGTTACGTTGAGAACACTACGCTCGAAGTTGTCGACGAGTATGTATACCCGTGACAAGTTGTTTAAATGGGTAAGTCCAACTTCAACCGAGAAGTCAACCGACGAATCCAACTCAGTTGGGCAGCGTTCGGAAAACTACGCCACATCTTTTCAACCAAAATATCTCAAAATTTGAAGACGAAGGTTTTTAACCAATGCGTGTTGCTAGTGATGACTTATGGAACCGAAATATAGTCCTATAAGATTGCCCGTATGCAAAAGTTTCAAATTACTCAGCGGGCTATGGAGAGGGCTATACTCGGTGATTCTTTGCGTGATAGAATCCGAAACGAGGATATCCGCAAAAGAACCTAAGTAACATAAAAGTAACAGCCCGAAGAATAAGCAAGCTGTATTGACAATGGGCTGGTCACATAGCACGAAGAACCGACAACTGATGGGAAAGAAAGGTTCTTGAGTATCAACCCAGTATGGGCAAACGCTGTGTAGGACGATCTACTAGATGGAGTGACGACTTGAAATGCATTGCAGGGAGTCAGTGGATGTAGGTGGCTCAAGATCGCTCCTTATGGCAGTCCATGGGGGAGGCTTATGCCCAGCAGTGGACAGATAATGGCTGAAATGATGATGATGTATTTGAAGTTTGTTAACTGTTTAACTATGATTGAACAAACAAGCAACAACTTAAAAAATATATAGTTTAGATTTCGGTTGGCCTTTTTGAGACCCCTCATTTTATTTTTTCTTAAATATTCCCCATGTACAGACATAGTTACAATTTTATTATATTAGTAAGATGTTGTAGTAGGAAAAAAATCTTAATAATCTTATATAATAAAAACATATTTTTTTCAACAGAAAAGATTAGATGATTTTTCGCCTACAAAAAGCAAAAAAGAAGATAAACTAAATAAGAAAGAACTCGAAAAGGAGAAAAAAGTGAGTATCATAAGTTTTTAAGCATTGTCGATAACTTTTATTTCTAAATGCCAAAATTTAAAAATTTAAAAGGTTACACTATTTAATAATTCTATATTTTTCTGTAGGAATGGCTGAAAGAAGGATTTACTATTGTTAAGGGTCCAGAAAAGAGCAATAATAAAGACAAAAAGAAGACAGAAGAAGCCAAAGTTATCGAAGAGGCTGAACGTAAAAAGTGCGTATTAATAAATTTAACGATTTACTTTAAAAATATTCTAATTTTAGGATAACGTAAATATATCATGTTTTAGAATAGAAATATAATTATTTCTAGTAGATATTGTTGAATACAATTAGATTATTATGCAATAGGAAAGAGGATGACAAGATAGCTGCCGAAGAAGAAAAGAAACGGAAACAAGCCGAGGCTCTCAAGAAGCAACAGGTAATACTATATTTTGATCTATTTTAATTAGAAATAAAATAATTATTAAGTCATTTGTTATCGGAAAGGAGCTTTATTATCGCTCTACATAGTAATTAATAATGCTGGGTACAGACTGGTGCAATCATTTATTTTACCTTTAATTGCAAGGGTGGTTGCATCGTGCACCTGACCCATGCTTTTGCTACAAATATCCTGCGTGGATCTGTTTCTGCTAGTCTACTGCGAATACGATTCGTCGTCATCCGTACTTTCCACTCCATGTTGTCAGCTTGTTTCCATGCTAGTTTAGTCTACACAAGCGTGTCTTCGAAACCGCCATCCACACTGTCCTGCGCATTTTGCGACTCTATTCAGTGACACGGAAGTGTATGTGCATCAGAAGAACCCTATATCTAGATGAACGATAAAGACATCAAGATGATATCAAAATAGGCGGTAACCTTTTCTCGCAATTAAAATCTACGGGAATCTAATATATACTTGTAAATATTGTAAAGGTGATAACGAAATGGATGATCTTGTTTTTCGTGTCACGAATCGTTACTCACGCGACTTTTAATCCTTGTAGTGAAGATCGTGCGCCAAGGCCTCCAGTTTATGATAATTTGTTACAAAGTATGTTAACTTTTCATGATACAATGTAACAATGTGAACGGCAAATTCTTTCAGTGTATGTTATATTGTGTATCACGTTTCGTCAGTCTGTAGTTACTATAACACGCTTAATTCTTTAATCCTTATGTTATTGCCATTTTGTATGTTACCCTTAACAATTGGATCAAAATTATAATGGACACTTTAATGATCAGCTATATACAGAACTGCCATTTGATTAGTACGGTTTACATAAAGTTTAGAAACATTTTTTTTATTAGACTAAGGACTTTTAAATTAAATCAAATAATATAAAAAAGTTTATTTTGACAGTTACATGTCATAATATGGCAGGAAGTTACTCTTATTTTTATTTTATTCATATTAATTTGAATTTTATTAAATTAATTTGAAAAAGTTAAGAAGCTTTTTCTTTATTTTAAATAACAAACAAAATTTAACTCCGAAATAGATGCCAATATACAGAAAATATACTCTTGAAAGGAAAGAAAATAGTATTGTGAAAGTAATTTTTAGATAATGTTTCTCTAGTATAAATAAGGTTTTATTGCAAAATTTTACTATATAGACACACTTGTGTATGTAGGAACAACAGCAGCAACAACGCCAAGCATCGGAGTCTGTGATAAAGAAGGCTCCATGGTCAGCGGTAGCCAACCAAACTATGCAGTCTACTAATAAGGACGGACTCACATTGTCCGAGATACAACGGTTGGAACGCGAGAAGAAGCTAGAGCAGATGAAGGAACAACACCAGATGATGCAGATAATCGCTCAGCAGCAAGCTGCACAACTTGCAAGAGAACAGGTAATCAATAAATGTGCAAAGCAACAGTGATGTGCCGCTTCAGGCTGATACGATTATTGACTCGAATACGTGTGTATTCGAGTACAATAGTAGTATTGTCGGATTCAACAGAATTCAAAGAAATAAATAATTATATTCAATCATGAGACAATATCAATTGCCTTGTGCTTCCGATATAGAATGTGCCACCCCTTATTTTGCAGTGGGTGTCGTAAGAGGCGACTAAGGAAACTTAATGGTCAAGGTATGGGCAGCCTTCTTGAAGTATCACCAAAAGCCAAACTGCGGTTACCTGCCAAGGGTACTAGTAAAATCCTCTCTATGGCAAACTACTATAAAGAACGGGATCGTTCCCAATGGCAGCAGAATTTTTAAAACTGCATTGAATTTACCATCTTAGTTTTTGCGTGATGCCGTAATAAACATATATTTTAGGTGCAGATATATATTAAGTTTTAAAAAATATGGTTTTGGTTTCCAGCCCTCCTATTAAGACCTCTCATATGAATTTCAAATGTTTTCTATATACATACATTACATGGTTACAATTTTGTTGTATGCATGTATTATTGTAGATTCAAAATTGAATACATATTTATGTAAATAATTTGTTGACAGGAAATGCAGGCTGGATTAGGTTGGGCAAAGAAGAAAGGGACCAATGTAAACATACCTGGCCAAAGTTTAGCCGAGATTCAGGTGAGATTTGTTATTAAATTGATGGATATCTCTCATCTACATATTGAACTAGGTATTATTTTGCGGAAATCCATATCACTGGTTAGTCGATCAATTTTTAAATATTTAATATCTTTAAATATTCAATCTTTAAATTTTGGGACTCGTATCCATAGGTACTAATGGTAGCGGAATTAAATAAAATAATTGTAATCGAATAACCAGTGATATCTGCAGAAGTACACGATATGATATACAATATGCACTTTATGTACAAATGTACACGATATAGTAAATATTATACATTATTATTCAAGCTATTTATTATATATGCTATTGATCCGGTCCGGCTTCATACTGGTAGATAGAGTTTTCGAAAATAATATGAAATCATTTTTTTAAATCAATTGGGTAGTTTTTAAGTTTTTCCATTGCTAACAAACAATCAAATCTTTCCTCTTTATAATATTAGTATAGATTATTATAGATGTATTCTGCGATTTTTCTTGCGTTATTTAGTTATATAAAAATGTGTTAAGTTAGTATGTAGCCTTTCTACCTGTGATCCAAATTTTATATATTGTAGATATAGTAGATTGATTGATTTAATCGGCTTAAAAAATTATATCCCATGTTAATCTTTATCCTCTAATTTACACCCAGAACTTGATAAAATTTTTAGCTCTTTAGTTAAATGGTTTTGTCATAATTGAAATAGTTTTTTTTTTTTTTTATAGGAAACAATCATTAATAATGTTTTGTTTATATATTTTTTAGCGTACACCTGAGTCCTCAGGAATGGCAACGCATGGGGGGTATCATGGGCGAAACAGTATACTCTGTTATGTCCATCGTACTGCTCATGTCTATAGGCGACAGTTATCACTTTCCATCAGGTGGACCGTCTGATTGGTGATTTTTCTCTGTATACTTTATCCAATAAATATTTTTTTAGGCTGAGACTCGTAAGCAGGCAGCAGTGGCGGCAGTACAAGCCCAGGCACTGGAGGAGGCACAAGCCGGCACTCAAGCACAGGCTTCTGTCAACCACGTGCCCTGGGGCAATGCTCACAATGGAGTTACCGGTATACCTAAACAATATGCATGTTTTATGCGGTATATTGACATCTATTTATTCAATATATTTATTAGATGTATAGCACGATCATGTGCCTTGCCAAACCTTCTACATATCAGCGAGATGCTAACATTGATACATACAGTAGTTAATAACATAATGATATGTTATTTTTTTTTTGATGATTAGTTTGTAAGAAAATTACTAGTAACTATTGTAAATTTAAACAGTAGACATAATATTATTATATACGTCTGTGCATTTTAAATTTAAAATGCATTTTAAACAAGGATGCTTTTTATACGAATCCATTCAGGTTACAATTAAATAGTACATACTTATAACATAATTTTTCTATTTGATAGGTGGATTCTGGGACACCCAGCCAAATACGCAGCCGAAACCAGCGGAGAAGCCTCAAGAACCTCCTAAAGTGGAACAGCCCAAGACAAAGAAGAAGCCGGTGACCGTTGCCCCACCTAAGAAGGAAAGCACGCCAGCTGCGGAATTTGAGAACTGGTGCACCAATGTGCTGTCTTCTTGGAGCTCCAAGATTGACGGTGAATAGATTTTTTAGAAGTATATAAGTTTGCTTTACCATTTTTCACTATCGGGATCTCTTAAGGGGCAAAGAAACGCAAAAGGAGAACTCGAAACTTTGTACCAAACCATTTGATCATCGTTATAATCGTAGGCTATATCTTCATTGATTGTGAGAGACTATTGCTTCTAAGTAGGATATAAATCAACCAATAACGCAGGTTATTATTTCATTTTTATCCGTTAAACAATATTACAAGCTGTGGTTAAGTAGTTTGGAATTATATATAATGTCTATATAGGTATTAACAGTATTATTAGTTCTTTAGCATCACTATCATCATATAAGTCGTTAAAAAAAAAATAACAGGCCACTGCTGAACATAGGCCTCCCACTTTAGGGTTTTGCCATTATATGCAATGCTTGGTAGTCGAGTTAGCAAGTGCTCTAAGCTTTATTGATTTTTTAAGAGAGATGCTGTTGTCCCTCGGCCATTAAAATTCCCTTAGTCGCCTTTTATGTTACCCGCGAGAAAGGAAGGGGTAGCCCATTCTATGCCTGGACCACACGGCGTTCTAAATATTATAGTACTATTATATTTATTGATCTTTAATTTTTGCTCTTGTCATCACAGTGCCAACTTTTGTTGGTTTCCTGAAAGATATCGAGTCGCCGTACGAAGTGAAGGATTACGTCAAATGCTATTTAGGCGAGACCAAGGAGTCTAGCGATTTTGCCAGGCAGTTCCTTGAACGGAGGTGAGTAGCTTGGTGCGATTTTACCAGAGGGAAATTGTGTAAAAATTCATGTGCTAAAATTCGTCTATTTGTGTACATTTGTCCCACTCATGTTTTTGCTATCAAGCATTTGTGCTAGTACGACTATCTGTTAGTTTAAAGGGTGATATGACAGTCTTCAGGAATGGCAATGAATGAGAGGAACCATGAACATCACAGTGTAATCTGCGTTTTTCATGATACTGTTCATGTCGGTAGGCGAAGGTTATCAATTTTTATCAGAGTTAGGCTCTAGGCGTGTTTGCTATTCCATATAACAAAAGTCTGATTACTTTTTGCTTAGGATATTTGTTTATTACTGTTTGCTCCCTAATTAGGTCTAAATTACTGCGCGTGGGCATGGTGACACCATCAGATGACCTGTGCTCTCCGGCTATTGCAGTCAATCCTCGCACCACTTCAGGATCTGATTATCAGGAGGTCAAGGTTAATACATATATTTTTACTATATCTACGCTGAAATTACGTCTATAACAGGGCTAAAAATTATAGTAAAACCATTTTACTTTGCATATTTTCTAAAATTAAAAACCAAAACTTTTTGAAATATGGATCAAATCATATTAGGCCGACCCCAAATGATTGGGATAAGGGTAGGAAGATGATGATGAATACAAATAGAATTATAAAACTCAAAGCTCTTTATTTTCCTCGTAGATATAGTAAAAAACATTATGTATCACATAGAAAGAAAGTGCAAATGATTAACTCATGTGACTTACTTTCTCTGTATGAAAAATGCACCATTTTAGATTTAAGAATTTGATAATTATGACATTATTAGAATTACACTTATCACTATTATTCTGCATATCAATACGTTGTATAGATATTTGTGTGAAGTAAAAATTTGTAGTACTAACTTAGCAGTTTTGGTCACATATCCTAATTGATAATTAATTAAAAATTAATAATTTATTAAAAAGAATTAAGAATAGCCTTTTTTGGGAGAACAATTATTAATACTGACTGACTAAATTGAAGGCTTTTGATTGTGTAGTGTGACACATTGCTGAAAAAACTAGCTTTTTGGTGTCAAAGACAATGATTTAAGTTTAATTAAATCATATTTATCCAATAGAATACAAAAAGTTGAAGTAAATAATGTTACATCTAATGGGTCGCTTGTACGTTAGGGTGTACCTCAAGGGACTATCCTAGGGCCATTCCTATTTTCAGTTTAATGAGCTCGTATTTGCCATGCAGGATAGATGTAGCCTAGTATTATTCGCAGATGATACTCCTGTGATTTTTAAAGTTGATAGATTTACCAAAAATTTAATTAATTATTATGAATTGTTTACTAATGGTACTGCAGAGATTATTCAGTGAATACGCCAATTATTAAAAAGGGAATTCCAAACTCTTTTCTGTCAAATTGAAAACTTTAATTAATAGCTTCAAAAAAAAAAAGGAAATTCTCATATTTAATAAAATAATATAGAAATCTTTATTAATAGTTTAGAAATTAAAATAACTGGTTTTGTCACAATTGAAGTCGGTTTTTCGTGGAACACGATTTTAATCTGTTTTAGAGGTAGTTTTAGAGAATAGTGCTATAGAATCTACACAATTAACTGATCTATAAAAGAATACTCGTAATTTACAGGGTAGAGGAAAGAAGAGCAAAAAGAACAAGATGCTAAAAGTGGACTCTCGGATCCTGGGTTTCTCGGTAACGGCAGCCGAGGATCGCATCAACGTCGGTGACATCGACACCGTGTGAGCCGCCGCCGTGTCTCGTGTTCACCACAACTCGTATTGTGATAACCCAACGCAGTAATGTACATTCGCCAACAATACTACCTTAAACATATTTCACTGTATTTCTAGCCTCATTGTTACGCGAACGGTTCATGAGTGTTCATCGATTTATGTTGTTAACCCCACCGACTCCCATGGTATCCATCGGGGTCCAACGCGGGGTGAATTGGCCCTCCCTAGCTTCCTTCAAATCGAACTTGTGAGTAGAATTGTTTAATATAGGAGACTAGTGCGGCAGGGGTACTGCGACACCTATCACCAAACTGCGTATGAACTAGAAAGCCGTTTTTTATTAATTGTTGTATTGAAGTGTAGACGGAAGTGACAGATGTTGATGGTTAGTATTATTTATGCATGCATACACGTACATAAAGTGTCAGCTAGTGCATAATAACGTGACGACAATTATTGTGCCTTCAGTGTGTTCTGGCCGTTGGGTGGAGTGTCCTTTTTTAGTGTTTATTTTGTATTTACAAAATGTATATTTGTGAAACGTATATATGATAATCTGTGTCCTAATATGTTGTGGCTCAAAACCTGATAATAAATCCTTTTTTTTTTATTTAATACCAATATTTTGATAGGTACACAGTGCATAATATATGACCTGTACTAATAGTCTAGTCACATGTAAACTTATTCATCTATCCTAACTGTAATTTTTATACTTTCAAACTGTTATAATGCAGTTCTATTACTCTCTGTGTAGTCTATTCTTTAATATGTACCTATCCTATATTTATTATTAGTTTATTATTAATGCTAATTCGATAGTATCCACCATTTTATACTAAATGGATTATGTAAGTATAATCACATTACGTATTTTGCTCATCGTAACTGAATGTTGTGATTCACATAGGAAATATCAAATTAATCCATTTGAAATGTAACCCTTGGACTTATTGAATAGTGTTGATTGATTTTTTACGTGACTTTGGTCTACAAGGCACTGGTACTTTCATTTTTAGACATATTGGTATATTGATCGTTTTGCATATATAAATAGGTCATTTTAAAATTGCTGAATTATATAAAAGCCACAACTGAATTAAAAAAAGTACAAGTCTGATGGGACATTATTGTCTTAAATTATAGATGATATTTTTGATCGAATATCTGTTTATAAATTACATAATATTGTGTTCAATTTTACATTGGCTACGATTAGTAGACGATCCTATGGTTCTTTGTGCAACCACACCTTTACCGAGGTTGTCTTTTATAATTTAATTAAATCGGTGTTAATATTTTGCCTGTTTTAATTTTGCTTGTTTGGCAAAAGAATGTATGTGTGCTGTGTTGTCTTCTTATAAATTTTATTTCTTTATACTTTGTTGTGAATACCATTTTAAATAATTTACATAAATGAATTTGCCAATTTAAGTATCTTTTTAACAAACCAATTTTCATATAGCTACCTTTTAAGCTCTTATATCAATTTACATTCATAAAACGTCATGAAATACCAATATTTTATTATACTTTATTCCACCTGAAATTAAGTTCCCGTTTTATCGATTTTATATTTAATTATCGTTTATTGAACAATAGTATAATATTATTGTAAATATAAACAATGAGTGGATATAACGATGAATATAATATTGTTTTATTTACAACTATGTTTTATCTGTGGCGTTAAATTGATAACACATGTATGGAAAATAGGACGGATGATAATAGGCATAAGTATTGTAGCTGATATTCCTCGGCGTACTTTTATATTCGATGGCGTACACAGAGGGGGACATTTTGTCTGTGGACACTATTTCCTCTTTACTGTTTGCCCTGCCTTATTACGTAAGTCCAATGAGAGGTAAAATGTTAAAGTATATGGCTAACAATATACGTCGTTTGCTCCTGAGCAATGAATGGCACACAGGGCTGCATCGCATATAGCACACGATTAATACTCGTACGAGTCCGCGGCTAAACATATAGAGGAGTTATTCCACCGTTGACAAAAAGTCTCTCGTCTGCACAGGCATTTATCTATGACATGCCTAATTTTTGTGAACAACATAGTATAATAGCAGTCTCTTCGGTTGTATTTTATTGAAAATAATGTTTTAAAATCACTCCGGTAGAATAATGTTAATGTCCGTTTCGGTATTGTTTAAATGCATGCAACTTTATAGAATATCAGAATCGTTGTAGTAGTTGATTTTAAAAAGATGATTTTATAATTTCTAATTTTATAATTTTGCCTAAGGGCTTTGTTAGTGTTTATGTATATACTATTATAACATTTAAAATATTGTATAATCGTTTTGTATATACATTATTTCTTATGTATAATTTTAATGTGATTTGCATTGTTTACGGAGTCAGCGTTCAATAGTGAATTACACACCCGCGGACAGTTTTTGCGAGTATGGTTCTTTTGTAATATTTGATATGAATTACACTCGTGTACAGTTTTTACTAAAACATTTTCTAATTCTAATAAGCTCTGAAACTGTGTGTACGGTATATTGAACGTTATTCTGTGTAATGATATAACTAATAGAATAATCGAGTATGTCGACAATGTGTTTTTATTTTTTAGTACTTACCAGGCTTAGGCACAGATCGTTGAATATATTCAGATATCTATGCGTTTAGGATACCTGAACGTAACTACCGCGACATCTGTTATTTGTTTTAGAATTGTTGTTAGTGATTAAATGAAACACCTTGTCCTCTACTCAAATTTTAAACAATGCTAAGCGAGATTAAATAATTATATATTATATTAAAAAAAAAATTGAATAAAATTCATAAGTAATTGTCGAATTTTTTTGTTGTGAAGAGGGATGACAGAAATGAGAACACGACTGCCTTTACACTATAAAATAACTCTCTCATATTGGCTACGTATCATTGCGTTCGTAAATGCTAGAGAAATCAACATGAGGATATACATTAACTTGCAAAATCATATATTCGGTTATAGTTAAGAATAGGAATATATGGAATTTCATATGATTTTATGTATATATAAATTATTAAGGGTAAATTACGAAATTCAGCGTGAATACTTTATTGTGTTTGAATGGAAAATTTGAATGTGAGATAGTGTAATTTTAAAGAAAGCGATTTCTCAATTAGAGTAATTGTCCGATACTCGAGCCAGAAACGAGGGCTTCAAATAACTCTGGTTGGAACTCGTCCTATCTTCCGTGTATGTGGTGTTTTTTTTTTTTTTTACGTAGTATTAGAAATGTAGGAAATATCATCACAACTAGTTTATTGTATATATTAGTTTTTACAAGTAGCTAAGTTTCTTTTATAAGCAATATTGATTTTTAATTAAAAAATATTTTGCAATTGAATTTATACAGAAATTCAGAAATATAAATTTAACAGAAATCGATTTCCATATAATATTGCCGTTTTATTGAAGTCACTGTTATTTCATTGTCTTAAATAGGTAGACACATCTTTTCTTCTTTCGGGGGAAGTATCTTTTTTGTGATCAGGGTGTTGTTTACATATTTAATTTTGCAAAAAAACGATAATAATTTACATGAAGTTAGGCAGGTATAATATAGATAGGCAGGTGAAGGTATAATACCTTTTGGCATTCCTCTCAGAATTCTTAGTTGTAAGATCGCGCCATTGAATACGGTTTCAATTTACACGTAGTGGGAATTTTATTTCCTTTAAATAATACATCACAATTATTAATAATTTTTTATTATTTTGAATTAATTAATTTAATTGTTACGTATATATTAAAATTGAAGTATAAATATTATTTATATTCGACATAACTTTATTATGAAATAATCTATTAAGCTCATTTTAATTTTTATTGTACAGTAGAATCTCGATTATCCATCCGAATCAAATATAACCAAGTATATTCAGTATAATCGAAAATCCGGATAATCGATTTAATTAAATAATAATTACATCTTAATATTTTTCATTATGTAAAGGGTTTTACATACGTCATTTAGATAATACGAGATAAAAAATTACCAGCTGTAAAGATAATGGATAATATCTATGTAATTTAAAATTTTAGTTGGAAGCAATTAGTTACTATAATTCTGCGTAATAAATCACATCTTTTCATTGAGGACAAGTCCCTGATGCCCTTCAATTGTAACAACTGTATGGGATTCGATTCGTTCTGTCTTTCAATCCATTTAAAAGTAACATCTAGAGTTTCAAAAGCCGCGTGAAATGGTATTTGGCATACATCACTAGTATCAGTCTCTTCATCTTCTTTTTCGATATTGTTCAAATTGTTAATGATTTCTTCATCAGTTAATTCTTTTATTTTTTCATCACACCCTCTACCAATACTAAGAATTTTTACTGCTTCTATTATTTCCTTGATATCGTCGTTTGGTTTTACGCTTCTACCAGCATATAGCAAGAGTGTTTTAAATTTATTTCTAAAAAAAAGAATCGACATAGTCTCTATTTCACTGCTGTCTGCTGACAAAAGACGACATAGTAGCTGCGATAAGAAAAGAGGTCCCCAGATATAGTCTGCCCGCATGCTCTCTTTTGTAAGAACCAAGTAAAAATTGTTTTCCAGAATTTCATTGAGACTTTTTTGCGAGCTTCTTTAAAGCGAGCAAGTGAATTTCAACATGGAATCAGATTTTTTTAATGTCTGATATTGTTAAAACTTCTACACCATTCATTTATGTTAACTTACTGCCAGTTTCACCATTTTTAACCTCTTAGTAATCTACACTTTGTCTTTAGATTTCTAATGCAATAGGTAAACAAAAATAAAAGACAACCTCTCAATTGAATGTTGTTAAATAAAATGAAGGCAAAAAAACATACTACTGTGCAAACAATGAGAGGGGGAATATTTACACTTCGGATATCTAAACTCGTAATGTCTCGTTGCGTCCTCAAATCATTACATTAGTGACTAAAGCCGTGAAGAATAAGTCCGGATAACCGAATATTCGGATAATCGAGATTCTACTGTTTTGAGTTTCATAAATATTATCGCCGGGTTTGCCTTTTTTATATCTTTTATACTTTTTACAATCGTTACAGTTACAATCTATTTGTGGAGGTTATCCAAATGAATTAAATGTTAAACTATGCACAAGCATACTCGACGTTTTGGTGTTCACGCAAGCAACTTGTTTGAACCTTTTGTTCAAACATTGATTAGGGTTGAACGTGCAGAGATCTTTTTTTATCTTTTTTTTTAACTATATTTAATAGCATGTGTTGTGGCCTCATTGATCGGTTTTCTCGCTGGCCGCTAAGACATTCTACAGACAAAACTGACGGCTTGAGACAAAACAAATTACTAAGACAAAAGACGAAAAAGAAGACGGACATAATTCTGATACGATAAATTTTCCTTTTAATTTGAATAACTTTTGACGACAAATTCGAACCTTCGACCTTTCAAACGGTCCTTCGGCCTTTCAAGTACTCTTTCAAAAAAAGTACAGCCAACCTGCGGTGCAGACACGAAGATAAGCGAAGATGACGACAATTCCGACAATGCTGCTTTTTACTGTTGACCAGGTTAAACACGAAACAGACACACGAGACAGTCCGCCCGTGGTAGCCGCCATCCCTCACCACGGCATCCGCTCGTCCGCATTCTAATATGTCCACATTAACTGTAGTAAGAAGACGACGACTCCTACAACTGCAATTGCAAGCCGCGAAAGAGTGCGCATTGGTACAAACTAGACTCATTGAAGAAAAACTGGCACTATCAGCACAAGCACTCGAAAATGAAGACAACCTACTCATGCTCAATAGGACACAATCGCGCGAGTCTGTCTATTTACAACCTCAGGTAAGGCGTATTATTAGTATACCCCACACTATCTCGACGGCTATCAATACTGATACACAGGCAGCCCGAAATTGTGCCTGTACCACAACACACGCAGTCTTGAGAATGACTATACGAACATGTCTAAACTTTTAGCCAGGCAATCAAGCACAAAAGAGCTGCCCTTGTATAGCGGTGAGTCTGAAGAATGGCCGTTGTTTTATAGTCAGTACATATCGACAACACGTCTGTGTGGTTATAGCGACGAAGACAACGCACGACTAGCGCTTTGCCTAAAGGGTCGTGCGCATGACGCTGTATCTGCGCTGTTGGTGAGTTCGTGAATGAATCATAGAAGTCATATTGAACAAAATAAGGCTCATGCGTGACGTCAGTCACGATGACGTCAATCATTTAATAGAATATGCGACTGCAGTTCAAAATGTAGCTACGATGAAAATAACAGAAGAGGTTGGACGAGTAAAATTTCGACATTATTAAAATATCAATGGAGTATGTATATATCAAATAAAGATGTAAATATTGTAAATTTAAGTTATGTATTTGAGTGGCTCATGATCGTAGATAGCGCCTCCCCTTACATTGCCCCGCTGCCTATAAAGACTGTAAATAATCCTGGTCAAGCCTGACCATAGACCATGGAGACCGATGGTGGCTATAGTTTCATCACAATCAGATACATGTGTATTCTGCAACGGTAATCCTCGACTTAGTGATAGTCATGATTTAAAACAGATGACGATAGACGACCGCTGGAAGTTGATAATTGACAAAAAATTGTTTCTCTTGTCTATCTGTACGATACCAATTGAAAGCCTGCAAGAGAAAAATTAAATGCTCTATTCGTGACTGTGCCCATGCTCATCACACCTTGCTTCATGCTGCCCGACGCGACGAGACTGATGATATATCAGTATCGCATGTATTATTTGAAGGTCGTGCCAGTCGTTGCATCGGGTACAAGAAGTGACGTCACTTCCTTGGCTCTCCTTGATGAAGATGCATCTGTAAGCCTGGTTGATGCTGCGCTGCTCGAGAAGGCTGGCATTACTAGTTCGACGACAAATCTACACATGCCTGATGTGTCCGGAATATCAACCACAGAGACGGACTCAAAAATAGTGTCATTTAATATTCGCGGTTTGAATGAAAAATATGTGTATAGTGTAAATAGTGTTCGTTCTGTAAATAATTTGAATATTGTAGTAGATAGGATTTCATATAAAAATATTGTAAATAAATATCCTTATGTGACTGACTGACATAGGACCTAGAAAAATTTAGTTATTAATTGGACAAAAAAACATTGACTTAATTATTACTAGACAAATAATACAAGGACACAAGAACGGACCTATAATATCTAAGACGGACTTGGGTTATGTGGTACAGGGGAACATAGGACTCCGTAGTATAGCGAATCACAAAACTATATTACATGCCCTTGACGAATTACAAGACCTCGTTAAGAGATCTTTTTCCACAGAGTATTTCGGCGTGAAGTAGACAGGTGACTTTCTTTGTTCTCGAGAGGATCGGCCAGCGCTGAAGATTATGGAACAGGCCACGAAACTTGTCTCAAGGACGATGGAAGACGGGCCCACTCTGGAGATCTAATGACGTTTAGCTCCCGAATAGCTACCCACAGGCGAAGAGTATACTTACTGGTATCCAGAGAGTTTCATAGGTATCCCGAGCTTGCTGTTATGTATGAGGACAAGATCCAGGAGAATGTTGATAAAGGATACATCTTAAAATTAACTCCAGAGGAGGCCTCGATCCAGACCAGTAAGACATGGTATCTTCCTCATTTTGCCGTTTTCAATCCTAATAAACCTAATAAGTTACGGATTGTACTCGACTGTGTAAGCCAAGTCTGGTGGTAAGTCACTTAATGACTTCCTACTGAGTAGACCAGATTTTTTAACATCTTTGCCTGCTGTTTTATTAGGGTTCCGTATAGGCAAATATTGTATTAGTGGTGACATCCCAGAGATCTTCCATAGAGTTCTTATAAGGGAATATGATCGACATGTCCAAAGACTCAAAGTAATGAGCATACCCACGTCTCGAGATACAGGCTACCTTGACGGGTGCTAGACTAGCTCACACTTTGAAGCAACACTTCGACGCAAGCGTAACACTGGTCTGACTCTAAGACTGTTCTAAACTGACTTCGTGCTGACAGCGGTCGCTTTAAGCGAGAACTACTAACCAACGTTAATCATTGGAGGTAGGTACCGTCAGGCCTCAATGCGGCAGATAATGCAATTAGAGAAAGGGTTACTGAGGATAATACGAGCTGATTACATGGACCACAGTTTCTTCGTGTGTCTAAGGAATTCTGGCCGTCAGAAGAAACTGACATTGTTGTAGATCTTGACGACGTTGAAGTGAAAACCATCTTAGTTTTAACTGAAGTGTCTTAATCTGCCTGACATCAGCCGATTCTCAAAGTTTCGGAGGCTAATAAAAAGTACCCCCTGGTTCTACCGCGATGTATGTAACCGGTCTTGCAAAGAACAAAAAACGAGGCGAATTGACAGCGGACGAAGTTAAAGAAGCAGAGAAGGCGCATATTAAGGATATTCAAAGGAGAATATTTTTTGCGATATTAGAAATATTCAAAAATGTGGACAAGTGGATAAAGAAAGTTTCTTACGCCAATTGACTCCGTTTCTGGACGGAGACTCCATTCTACGCGCTGGCCAGACTGAACATTCGCGCCTAGGCCATGCTTGGAGTATTGGCTTCCAGTACTGGAGGTGGGGATGTTGCGGCCACTTTGACTGGTTGTCTTGTTGGCCGCTAAGATATTTTACAGACAGCTGACGGCTTGGGACAAAACAAATGATTACGACAAAAGACGGGAAAGAAGACGGATATAATTTTGATACGATAAATTTTCCTTTTATTTTTAATACTTTTTGATGAGAAATTCGGACCTTCGACCTTTCAAACTGTCCTTCGACCTTTCAGCCTGTTTCGCACAATATCTTTTGATGAGAAATTCGGACCTTCGACCTTTCAAACAGTCCTTCGACCTTTCAAATAGTCCTTCGACCTTTCAGTCTGTTTCGCACATTGAAATTGCCAAACCATTTCGATGTTAATAAGTAAAAAACTTAAAATATAATGTATCACATGGCGCCGATTAGCTGCGCGATCACTGTTAACTGCTTTAATAGCTTTAAGATGGGAAGCGTATTGTATATATGTATTCTTAACGGTAGCCTAATGTACACTTCGCTTGCCTAGAAACATCGTTGTCTTTAGTGCGATTGATTTCGAATATTGGATTAAGCACGCACAAAATATTTTGTCCATGATTTCATCGCGCATCTATCGCCGCTGTGTAGCCAGTATGTAAGTGATATTAACGTATTTATTAAAATAGTTTTTTTTATAATTCGAAGGCGGCCAACACATTATGGCCAGTATGTCTACGGTTTTAAAATTGGAATTGCAAAATTATTGTCTATAGGTTTTTAGGTATCTCCGACAAATCCGATTATATTTACCAGTATATACTATCAGCACAGTGTAAGGAGTCTTCATATACTGGTTTAACGCCAACAAATCTGTTGGCATGCCACCTTTGTTGCAAGGGTTGTCACATTTATTTTGAACTGACTTCAAAACGAAGAGATTTTTGAGTATTCCTGTTTTCACATTTTTGATATGGATATCGAAGCCACTGTATGAAAAGTAGCTCTTTATACCGTGCTGTCAGTTTGAACCTATTTCCACTTTTTTAGTGTGTTTCCTGCCTCGCAGACAGTCGCACACGGCATAGCTGATTGTTTTACAACTACAGCCTTAAATGATGAAGCAATAAGTGTACTGACCTTTTAAACTCTAATTGAATGTTAAATGTTTCGATAATTATTATTATATGATGAATATGTTTAAAGACGTGTAAATACTATGTTAGAGTTAATAATAAAATAATTGATCATTGGATTTCCTGTTTTTCTTTTTCTCATCCTTATTTACAGCTAATCATTTCACTTTTTTATTTTATTTTATTAAGGGTATATACAAATAAATATAAATAATATAATAAAAGGGTATATTAAGGTTTCTTCAGGGTCGGCAACGTGTACGTGACATCCCTGGTGTTGCAAGCGTTCATAGGCTACTGTGACCGTTTACTATCATACGGGCTGTATGTTTGTTTACCATCTTTGTGGTATAAAAAAAGTAATATAGCAATGATATAAATCAGAGGAAAAACTGACATATTAATGAACTTTAATTATTTAATTAAATGTTATAATAAAATACCGACGAATATTTTGGATCTACCTTTGACATTCAAGCTTATGACATTCTAAAGACCATTTGAATGACAGACGTGTATGGTGTTAGTTGATCATTCACGGTCGTTTTAATAACCATGTAATTTTAGACAGTTCATTTAAATAAATACACAATGTAAACAGAGATTTAAAAGTGTAACTGTTTAGTTTCTAGTGGGTTCTTCTCAACAGATAACAACTTACCGAACCCTTCAGTAGATTAAAAAAAAAATATGATTTAAAAGTGCTTGTAAAAAAGTCTATTTGAATAAATTAAAGCAGGTATATGACAACAAAAACAATCAATAAAAATCTTAGTTAAAAACTAAGTTATATATGATAAAACATAAGATTTTCTTAATTGGAAGGACTTTGCTCCTCTCTTACATGCTTCTTATATAAATTTAAGCCTTCACTGAGTATATCAGACGGAACTGCTCATTATAACAATTACACCCTCTAAGAAGAAAAGTATAATTTTTGTAATTTGTACTGAAGCATGGTATCGCATGTATTTAACGCCAAGAGAGCAAAATGCATGCATATTTTTACAATCGTCTGATATGTTGCAGTGTGTCCATAAACACAGCACAAGGAAATTTTGAGACAAATTCATCCTTGGAATTTCTTCAATGCATGGTTTAATCGCATCAAATTTCCGAATAATTCGTTCAGTGGATCGAGTTCGATTGATTCGATTATGGAACAGGTAAGTCTACTATGACGTGTCGTTCTCACTCTTTGCCTTAGATCAAAATGATTTAAGTACGTTGTGTACTATACCACGGGAACTCTTTAATTGTCCGTGATTAAAAGTATCTAAAATGTTGACCGGGAATGTAAGGTATCATCATTCAAGATCTCATTTAAATCGGTTCGTTAGTTTCGGAGATTAGCCCGTACAAATAGACGAACAGATATAAACAAAAAAATTAAAAAAAAAATCTAGATGTGTAATGTTCCTATAGTTTTATTATATGTAGAAAATATCATGATTAATACATTTTGTGCAGTGGAATATGTTATGAAGCAAAATAAAGGCATGTCGTAAAGTTCACACTACATCACAATTTCGAGAAAATGCTTCTTGCATTGCGTAAATATTAAATTTTATCAGTATTTTGGGACATGTTTTGAAACTCAGATTTTCATCTCTGAGATTGTATATAGGTATTTTTAGTATTTGATATTCTGAGGTATGAGTATTTTTATACTTAATTATTTAAAGTAGCCTTAGCGTGTAAAAATCAATGAAAATAAAACGAATCTATTTCACAAAAAAATTATATTGTTTAAAAAGATTAACTATCTGCAGTAACATGAGCGACGACGGCGTCTGCGGCGCCTGCAACTTTGGCGGCGGCGGCGGCGCCGTCGCCGTCGGCGGCTGCAGCGTTTACGTTTGCGTCGGAAGCATCCCATCTCACGTACTAATTTTGCTACGTATCTGTCTCCACACTTCTCCAAGAAACCCATTGCTACACTTTTCTGCAACGTCTTCTCAGCTTTCCCCGTTAATGTGTTCGCCCTCCATACATCGCCAAACTTATCCTGAAGGTACCTGGTTATATCTTCAGCTGTAACACCATCTCTACCCGCCACTTTGTAAAATGTGCTCATTACCAGTTGAGAGGTGTTATGGTCTTGCTGTTGTTCGTCAGAATGCGACATAATTGGTGGATGAGTTTAACAGAAATAATATAACATAGTTTCCGAGGGTACTGAAGGTAATTTATCAGAAATAATTTATTTTATGTAAATATTAAAAACATTATTTGGTGAAAAAATATGTCCAAAGAAAAAATGAATGAAACCGATAATGTTACAATACATACAATTTATATATATTTTTTAAAGTACAGAGCATTTAAAGAAGTCACTATTGCCAGTAATATTGCATAGGAAATAAATGTGAATAAGTATCTATGTGTAATCTGTGATGCGATTTTAAATAAATCCTTGGAATTATATAGCCTAATATTTACAACAGAGAAGAAAATTGTGTAACTATTAAAAATGGAACAACAGTGACATAATAGTATTACGTTGCTTTCTTTTTTTTCATTTCACAAACTGAATTCCTTTGGCTGCTTAAAAATTGAAGAAGTGTGTAAATTTGTAATATAACAAAACTATATAAAAAATATGGCTGAAGCAGAGCCCGTAAACAATAGTAACCCTCCTCAATACGCAGCAGGTAGATTAGTGATAAAGTATCTCCAAGAGAACAAAGATGGGGCAACAATTGCCGACATACTTCGCCACCTACGTACGGAGCACAAGAACGAGTCTGCAAATTTAAATCGCACAGTGGAGTCTATCTTGGAGAATGGTATAGCATTTGGATTTTTGGAGAGGAAGGGCTCTCATTACGTGAATTGTTTAGCTCAGGAAATGTGTGGCTGTCGTCGAAGAAGACGCAGTCGTTGTCGGCGAAGAATGAAACGCAGAATCCGCCGCCGTCGCAGTAGACGACGTCGGCGACGATGTGGCTGTCGTTGAGAAATACCCGGGCCTAAACCCACACCTAAGCGAGTCAGATTCAGGCGCCGTCATGGATAAACGTTTAGGCATTGTTATGTACAAGCGTACTCGTATGTTATTGTTTGGATTGTTACTGATTTATCTAATATTTTAATAAATTCATTGCGTGTTTATTCTACAGAATGTATTTATTTTTATTGATTGAAATTTTAGGTAGCTCTGATACAGTAGGTCATAGATATGTATTATTTTATGGGCAACTGTTTTTCGTATTGAGCCGCCGAATTATGGAACGAATTCCCTTTCTACATACAAGAGAGTCCTATTACCTCTTTCAAGAAATAGTTGCAATTACATTTTCTTTCCCTTGAATCTTAACTTTTAGTTTTTCTACTTAAAATGGTAAATCATAAAATCATTAAATTTCTAATGTAGGTATATTATTTATTTTTACATTTATTAATAAATAGGTAGGTATTATATTTATTTAAAGTAGTAGGTATTACATTTATGTGATATTTTATTATATATTGTAATAACTTTATATTTCGTACCGTATTGATTAGTGTTAATAGAAAAATAATTTGTATTCTAAATATAATTCTAAATAGTTGTAGCATTTTAGCTGCCTACTAACGACAAATGTATTGGATTGACTGGAAGAGATCTCTGTCAGAGTTCTTTTGTGGCTCACAACATTTATAAATTGCATTGACACTGTAATTTACAAGCGCAATATATATATATATATATATATATATATATATATATATATATATATATATATATATATATATATATATATATATATATATATATATATATATATATATATATATATATATATATATATATATATACATACATTCTACTTTCGTCTATAAAGGTGGAATGAATTGTCGCATTGGCATCACAGAATCTCGAGAGAGTTTACTGTGTGATATATATACAGACTATTTGTCTGGTCGTCTGTTTGAATAGTTTCATTGGTATACCACCAAGTAGGCAAATTTAACATTATGTGGACTGTTTTCTCTGTTTAGCTAGGTAATAATATAAATAAGTTTGGAGAGTAAAATTTTTGCAATTGACTGTTTGAAAATCAATATTTCAAGTGTTATGTTTTTGAAAATGGTATGGTAACCCTGCCTGCGCTAACGGGTTACGCTGGCGGAGCACCAGTGAAGGGTGATAGATGAGAATGAAAACAGGCCAGTTAACCCATCATAATGAATTCATCAGGAATTAACCATGATAGTTTTCAGGAAGAACCGCGAGGAGTTCGACCTGGCTATATATATTGCTAGCAATGGGATTCTCAGTCTCCATTACTAACAATCCCTTTCCTCCAATATTTCAGGTATATGTGATATCAAATTACTTCATCATCATTATTTTAGTAATATTTATTCACTGTTGAATATGTCTAAGTTTCTTGGATTTATAATAAAATTTTAGAATTGGAACTTTTTGTTGTAATTTGGTCACGTCTACTAGTTATAGTAATATTCTTTCAAAGATCAATTTATCTTGAGATCTAGTTCAGTCAGTAACTACAAAAATATTTCATGGCTTTTTATTTTTTTTTATGCGTCTTAGAATGGCAAACATGCTGATGGAAAGTGGTATCTGTCGCTTATAAACATGAAACAGTACGCTAGACATAATATAGTGTTAATGGACAAATTGTGTTCACCATGGGACCCTTTATGCGCTGCCATTCCTGAGAACTAAGAAATGAATATGGTAGGGTAAAGATTAGAATAAAAAAAATTATACACAGCTAAGAACACAGCATTTAATGACTTAATAATTATAAACAACAACACTCTTAGTACACACATCACGATATCATAAATATTGTAGAAAGAAATAGAACATCTTTTTTCACAATATATATGGAGTGTAGAGGTAAAAAGAACACCCTTATATGGGGGAACAGTATCGAAGGTAAGCAGTGGTAACCTATAAATAATAGTTCCAAAACCCTCCAGAATGGCGCTATAGTCGCAAGAGGATATGAAATTAATAGTTGTTGATAAAGTGCACTGACCCCAAATCCAATCAGCTGTTAATTATTCTTTTGAAAAGTTTGCCATTAAAACAAACACTGAGATGGTTTTCCTTACCTCTCCCACTACAATAGTGCAATTTTAGATCAATAATATAAACAAAGAAAGAAATGCTATTAACAAAATGACATCTTCAGAGATTGCCAACATTTTTATGGACAATTTAATCAATTAGGTTCATATTTAATTTTGGAGAGTTTTATAATTAAGCCTCGATTTCGTATGTGTTCTAGGATCATTTTTATATTAGCATTAATTATGTGCCAGAAATTCGTATCCGTAACGGCAGATGTACCGTCGTTTCATGAGGGGAAAGAGATGGTTAACACTAGCTAGTGGGCTCATTGCTAGCATATGTTCATATCCTCTCAGTCCCCCCTAGAAATCATTGTGATTAATTCTTACAGAATTCATCACTATGGGCCTGACCTGCTTTCATCTTCACCTACCATCAGATAGTAGAGGTGTGATTACCATACAATTATCATTCATTAAGAAAACTGTTTGACACCAACTGAGTAAATAGTAGATATTCGTGTTTGTGAACATAAGTACATATTTAACGATCCGGCACACCACTACATTATATTAAGCACATTTGATACAGGTTTCTACTTTAACCTATTACATTAATAAAATTAATAATAATAATTGCTAATGACTTAAATTCTAGTTATATTGGAATTAATAAACGCTTCAACAGTATTATATATTTCAATATAACATACATCGATTAGGAGACAGCAAAAATGAAAAATGCAATTAATAACTATGTTCTCGTTGTTTAATATTTTTTTTCATATGAATTGGATTGTATTTAAATTTAATCTTTCAGGATTGATATTATATGAAATTTTACGTGTTTTGTATATCATGTATTATTAAAAATTCTAAATCAATTTATCAGAACAATACAATAATCTTATTTTGTAACACTAATCATTTTGAATGTGATGACAACCTATGGTTATCAATCAAACTTGTTTTAACATTTATAATATTAATAATGATAAATATATATACTTATTACATAGATTTATTCTCTAATTCGAGAGGATTGTAATAAGATTTTCTCTTTGTTGCGGCTAGAACTATCATTTAGTAGTGTTGCCGTTGTAAAATGTAATAGCATAGATAGTTCTATGCTTAGATTATATAGATAGTATTGAGGATCATAAACGGTCAAAGTTTAGTCAGCTAAAGTGATGGGTCTATGGAAGATAGAGGTAAAGAGAATTATGTCATATGAGGGACATTTCACCAGATTGGCTCTATAGTAGCAAAGGGTATGAAATAAATGTAGTAGTTGTTACTGGAGTGTAATGCGCCTATTTGAAAAAAATAATTGTTTTACTTACTATTTAAAGCATGATTAGAAGATTATTTTTTTAATTAATTAATAAATTATTGATATTTTACATAACAATAAAAGGAGATGGTCCTCTTTACTTATACCCTCCATAATCACCAACTTGATATTGATAAGGCAAACGCAAGATTCTTTAAATTAAAACAAAACATTATTTTTTAATTTTGCAAGTACGCAATTGGATTGATAATTTCCTAGATCGTTTATTTTTAATTGGGACCATTATTCATAAATTAGATTAACTTGTTCATTCGAATATATTTTTTAAATACATTCTATATATATTTAGTATTGAATTGGCGATCTTATTGCCTTATAGTGCTTCTATCAGTTAATAATTATATAAAAACTAAGTGATTGATAGTTAGTAGTAAAAACTAAGTATGACTTAATAGTATCTAATACAACTAGATACACAAAATACACATATTAAAATATATACCCACACATATAGATAGTTATTCTCATAAATATACAATTATACATAAATGCATAATATATATTAGGAATTACAACAACACATCAACAAATCCCAATACCATAAAGTGTGGTGATATTACAGTAACTATTGGGGAGCATTATGTGATACTTGAGTACTCTTATAGTGCATCTCAGTATAGGTTTCCATATGGTGGGTCCACCATTTTCAGCCTTGTACTGTTTATTGAGATTCTGTCTGATTTTATGGGCGGTGGTGGATATTAGAAATTGCCAATAGTTGCCACCCTTGGCAAGCGGGTTGACAACCGCAGTTAGGCCTTTAAGCTGTTTTAAGAGGGACGCTGCTGCCCATCCCCCGATCATTTTGTTCCCTTAGTCACGTCTTACAACATCCACGGAAAAAGAAGGGGTGGCCTATTCTACATCGGGAACACACAGCGACTCCATGCAGGCAAATGCAATGTAGGATGACACCTCACTAAATGGAGTAACGATTTTAAATGCATTGCTAGGAGTCAATGGATGCGGGAGGCTTATGTTTATCAGTGACTGATAACGGCTTATATGATGATAGTAAAATCATAAGATAGAACCTCTTAAGGTGGTTATCATCCTGTATTGAAACACATCGGAGGCTGTCGTCATCAGCGACTATATTTCCAGCTTGACGATTATACCTAACAGAATATTTGAAGATTTCCTTGTTGGGCCTTGACATCAAATATTGTTTCATCGTTCCCATTTGCTGTGTTTCCCAAATGACTTGAAAACTATTTGGCACGATTCGAGCCGTGGTTGAAGTGAATGTTTTCTAAATATTGATTATATTTTAAAACGACAAATACACCAGACAAACGCACCTGTATTACGTTAAACGTATAAATAATTATACTAATAAACATACAATTATATATATGTATGTATTGTGTATACATATACATATATTATACAACATATACATGCATAATATATACTATTACAATAACATGGCATCAAGATGATTTGAATGAATTTGACATAGTGGGTATGGGAGTCGCTAATAAACTGAAACGTATACAAAAATTCTTACGAATATAAAAATATATATGTATTAATTTTGTATCTTTTTATATCTTTCAAGTTAATATTATGATATTTATTTCTCTCACATACTGAGTTGAACTGTTTTTTTTTCTTCGAAAGATCTTTAAGGAAACAGTCCATCTATATAATCTAAGATTCTATGTAAGTATTTGTGAGTATATGTAGACACAAACATGATTTCATCAAGTTGTTTACACATAAATTAATCTAAGTAACCTAATATATGTAAGTGGGCTTTCTTTTTGTTTTTTCTTTCGAAGCATTTGTAGAGTTTCCATCTATATAACCCAAGATTCCATTTAAGTATTTATGTTGAGACAAAAACATGATTCCATCAAGTTTACACATATCTTAATCTAAGTAATGTAATACATGTAAGTGGGGATAAAATCAGATACTATTTAGGCCCCGAGTAGTTTCTTAACTGTGTAACCAGGTACAGCATAAACTAGAAGTAAGAACATTATAGCAAGCACGAGGATTATAGATATCTTCAGGATAGTCCACTTGTAGTTGTGCCAGACGATGTAGCGTATCGACTTTAGTGGATTTAGGAACCACATAAACGAAGCATCAGGTCGGCTAAAATGTGAAAATAATTATTGCAAAATATTAAGCAATCAATTTCAAAACACAGAATCATGTAAGGTGATCAACTTACTTGGGTTTGTCTAAAGGATCTGGTTCATTACGTCCTAGACCAGCTGGTACTTTATCAGCTTCTTCACGGGTAAGGAGATGTATTTCTGCTTCCACTTTCCCTGTGAGTTCCATTTCTTCAGTGTCACGTTTTATGTAAAACGGCCACCAGCCTTTGACACGTTTTTGCTTAAAGATGTTGATCATAGGCACCGAGCCATCATTTCTCAGCATATCTAAAGTGCACAGTTTAGATGATTTGGCCCCACGTGGGAATCTATTTAAATCTAAGGTTATGGCTCCTGCAAAGAAAAATATGTTATATAGACATTCAGAAAATGCTGATGAATATTAAGTTTTTTAACTGATCGACATACCCAAGAAATCATCTGCTGAGAAGTGATCGGCATCCCAAACTTGTAACTCGAGACGAGCAGGAATCTTACACTCTGTTTCATCCCAAGAGAAGACGGATTCTTTACGAGAAATTACAATGCGCTCTTCGGCTTCCAGATAATCAAAGGGATATATGAAGCGCCAGTTAAAGTTTCCTTCTCCAGTTAATGAACGATAATGTATGTCTGTAGATTGACAGTCGTCTGGGCCTTTTATCCATCTAAAACAAATAATTGATGCCATTATATATTGCGCTAATTTTGCAATAGTAACGTAAATTAAAAAAATTAAACTTACCCCTTTACATAAATATCAGACATTTTTTCGCCGGTGAAGAAGGCATCGTCTTCAAGAACAACATCATCTGTGTTCCATATTATTACTCTCATTTCATAAGATTTAGGCTTGCGAGCTGAAATATCCATTGGTGGACCTGGCAGTGGCATATCCATGGGAAACATGTCTACCCACATTTCAAGACGTCCTTGTTCGATACCTGGTAAAGCAGAATGTGTAATTTATTTATTTATATAAGAATATTTTTACTGTTATTATATCAAGGTTGCGAAATATTGTATAAAAATTTTGTATTTTATCTGTTACATAACTTCTTACCTGGTTTACTGGGATTATAAAGTGGTCTAGTTTCAATGTGTTCTGTGACTAATTTGGTCCCTACACGTGGAACCTCTTGCCAGCGTCTCAAGACTACTAATGCCATCTGCTCTTCTGTAGTGTCAGGATTAGAGAATAGTTCTTTATCATCCATTGGCATATTGAACACAGTGCGACCCACTTTAACTCTTCCATATTCATATATAGGAGGATCTAATTTCCCATCTTTGCATAATTTTGCCAAAATTTGTGTAGGTTTCAAAGAATCCCGCCAACGGTTGTAGCCTTGCCTACATAAATCAAAGAGTTTAAATTACTAATAAAATATTTTATTATTTTAATAATATTAACATAAATACGTATGATAAATACAATTAGTATATTGATATTAGATACAACACATACTCTTCATATTTCATAGGTAGTCCACATGTTGCCCTGTGTCGGGAATAAAATCTATTTTCGAGATCAATTTTAGTTTCTCCTATCAAATCATCGGATCCCAATAAATCCCAATCTAGAACTTGTATAGTAAGCATTGAATCTTGCGGAAATGTTGCCTCAATCTCAAAGCATTTTCCGAAAACTGGATTAAGTTGTTTTGATACATAGTTTTCCTTGTCACTTATTTTTTTTGAACCTAAATGCAACACTATATAGGGATCTGCTTTTCCATTGAGATCCATGGGGTGTAGATCAGTAGCTTTAACTATATAAACTCTGACTAATACATGGATCGGGTCATTATTCGGGACGCCTTGGAAGAATCCATGATTTGGATCAAATCCCATCACTGTATGATCGTCAATTCCTCTTGGTAAAGGCCATTTATAAACCTTTACAGCGCCCTAAAAAAAGAATTTGTTACAGTGATAAGTATAATATTATCTTTAATAGTAATAGAGTAGGTAATTTAAAAAAAAATGTATGCAGTAGTAGGTAATAATGTGTGCAGTAGGACATCTGTATCAGAAGAAATCAATGAATGGGTGAAGAAGAAATGAGAAGGGCATAGTAGAATAAAGTGCTTAAAGGTTGAGTGTGAATAAAAAAAATATTGATCTACCTTAAATACACCAACCACGCGGTTCTCGTCTTCAGTTTCATCACCAGTTTTCTTTCCTCTGTATAATTCGAAAGAGTGAAGCCATTCTTTGAATTCATCATATTCTGGAACAGCTTCAAGCTCATGTGGATATATCTACAATATTAAGGAAACGTTATATAAGTGGATAAAACATACATATATTTGTAATTATTTATGAAGGTCAAATTAAAATTTCTATACCTTTGTCAAAGCTGAATTTGGTATTTCATTTTTCTTTGATATCGTAGGGCTCACTTTAGCTCTTGGTGAAGATGATTGTCGACGCTTTGAACGATCACGATCAGGTCGCGGTGAATGCACTTCTTCCCTAAGGGACCGTGTTTCATCTGCGAATGTCATTTGAGGTGCTTGAAGAAATCCTTGACGTTCTTTCTTCGCTTCCTTTTCTTCCTCGATCATTGATTCGACTGAAGCAAAATACTTTGTCCACCAGTCTTTGTTACCATCATCATCCTCTAATACCGAATCAGTGCTGGCTTTCCTCTTTTTACTAGAGTCTCGTTTAGAGAATTTTTTACCTTTCGATTGTTTTACTCCAGAACCATAAGTCATATTCCCACGTCCATCGCGGGTAAGTAATGGGCAATTTTCTTTTTCATTTTCAATGGTGAAAACATCATCTTGTATAATACAGTTAGCTCGTAGGTCTACATTTTGTAGTTGGATTAAAGATTTTTTTCTTTCTTCGATATCCCTTTCTCTTTTGCTCATTGGTGTATAAATATATTTATGAATAGAATTTATAGTGTGTGTACCGACAAGTGTAATTCTACCAAAACTTCGGCAATCCACTACACGAATTGTTAGCGGTGGTCTATACAAATCTTGATCTGGTAGTTCTACATCGACAAATTTAACAGGATTAGTGAAATTAGGATTACGTTTTGCGTTCTGTATAATTGTTGAATACAAGATATTGCCAGCACATTCTATATCAACTCTGGGTTTATCTACTGTAAGAAGGTGCACACGTTTGAGATCACGTAAACCCCAAAACAAAACTTCAATACGGTATTTTGATAAAGTAGGACGTATTCCTCTTGGTACTGGAAGTATTGGACCTTTATTTGTATCAATAGGTGGCTTTCCATTAGCTTTCCTCGGAGATGGGAGCTCAGGTAATATAGATGAATCCTGTTTTGCAGGAATTTCTAGCAACTCAAATGTTGCGAGCAGTTCACCAGCCCTGTCATCGCCACGTGTAATGTCATACCATTCAAGAGAAGGAGGAAATTGTGGTCTTTCGTATGTATCTTCGAAAGCTTTTATATGTGGTTTTGCTAGTGTTCGACCTATAAATTCGGATTTTCCTACTTTATCTTGGTCAAAAATTTCAATAATAATGGTTGGCGGGTTAGCTTTTATTTGTTCAATTGTACTGTATAGCAAAATATCTTCAAATACAAGTAACTCATCCCATGTAGGACTTAATGTCTCGTCTATGACTTGAGTTGTTGCACTACTGTCACCAATCACTACTCTTGCAAAAGGATCAGACAGGCCAGATGAATCGGATCCTATCAATGACCTAGCTTGGTATACATAAGCACGCATTTGGAAATTCTGAAAACAATGTCATTAAATTATATACAAAATAAATTTTAAAACACAACATTTGTTGCATTTCATAAAGATCTTACATGTTTTTCAGCGTAAAATATAGTAGAAGGTGCATTGGAACGTAACTTGTCAGCATTTCGTAATTCAGAGCTCACTTCGTAGCCCTGAGGTAGTCCATCGATGTAGTGTTTTTTATCTTGCAGTAGCCCTAACCAAATGTATACATTGATTTTAGCCGGTATTGCCCAACCACTTGGAGTTGAAGCTTTTTTTCCTGGCCACTGAAATAAATAATACAATATTATTATATTTATCAATACAATCGCATGCATTCTATGATCAGATATAATAGATTTGACATACCTTCATAAATAGAGTTTGCATTTTTCCACAATATTTTCCACACTCATTAGGATAATCCGAGTATATGATATCTCTAGCAGGAATTCTTTGATATGCTAATCGCTTTCCATTACTCACCATCCAGATGAAGATATCTGGCATTGCGTGTTGGGCCTAAAAAAATAATTATTAAGAAGACATACTTATTTTTTAAAGGTATTTCGATACTGTGTACTTACATCTTCACACAGGTGTTTTAATTTTGTCAGATAAGTGAAAGCAGTTCGCAACCGATCCTTTATGGAATGTTTTGTAATAAGCGCTTTTAAGCTTTTCGACATCGTTCCAATATGTTCCTTTAAAAAATACACCAGAATTTGTTACTTATCATTCTATAAAATTTTATAGAAAGAGTAAGTTTAAAAAGTACTGTTAAGACTCTTCATTTTTAAACACAATATCTATACAACATTGTAATATAATGAGTGATCCATTTCTACACAGTAAGCCAGTGTATTGGGGAGCTGGTCTGATTCCCATACGCCTAATCTTCTTACCAACATTCTACTTCTGTATGTGTTCGTAAATTAAATAGAATAAAAAAAAAATCGTGCATAACATAATTTTATACGTGGTACACTTTTCACAATAAAACTAATAGCATGCAATAAATCGTTCGGTAAAGTATTTTTCGATTCATTTTCTTTACAATTTGCTATCATATATGCATTTTACTTATTTTTATTTACACTTCACACAGTCCAATAATTCTATATCACTTTCCTATTATATCACTGTTATGTAACATAATAAATATTATTAACACAGAACATACTATTTCGAAGAGGCATAACTTTTGTCTCTCCCTGTCCAACTTGGTGTTTCCAATAGGCGGGGCGTTGGTCATATGACGAACATACTCTGCACAAGCATTGCTTGTGGTTTCCAATACAGACTTTAGTGCTGCTACACAGTTGTTGTCAGGTCCAAAGTCCGTTTCGATCGCCATTTGGATATCTGATAGGCCTTCTTCCTGTAATCCATATAGTATTCCATTTTATAATATTATAAGAACACGAAATCTTCAGGCATATATTATTTTATATAATATATAAATCTAGAAAATGTATAAACAACATGATCACACATTTTAGGGATATGGGTATATATTTTATAGAAGATCAAGTAATTTAATGTGTTTTGGACAATCTTGCTAGATTTTGAAATATATCTAAAATGATTGAATCAAAAAAGAGACTACACATCATCTATTATTGGTATGTAGAAGAACAATATTACTAAAGATCATGCTCACAAAATCAACGAAAGATATACTCACGAATTTTTCGATGATCCTGTCGATAAGATTAGAATTATACATCCGCCTGCGATGATCCGGCCATATACTCCGGACATGCATACATTGCTTATTGTCCCAATATGGCAAATAATAGTAATGTTTATCGCTTGACGTTGCTTTTGTTGGATGAGTCACACTTTGCCAATATCCTGTATCAGGACTCATATCATCTGGAAATTAAACTTTGATTATTACTAGCTTTTCTGCTGCTTTGTTCACGTTTACAGACTATTTAATTTACATATATTAGTAAGATTTATGAATTACTGTATTTTCTAGTTTCATTATTAGAAGTTTATACTTTTTTATTAGTGTATATTAAAGCAGACTCACTAAGTTCTTCAGCCTCCAAGTCTTGTGGTCGTTTGACAGATTCATTGTGACCGTCTAAAGAATTGCCAGCATTACCAATACTCAATTCAAATTGCAGAGGTTTATCGGTAAGACGTTTATCAATCATATTTGCATCGAAAATGCTGGCAAACAAAAAGAATTCTTCGTTCTTTTCAAAACTAGATTCGGTGATAGCTAGAATTGGCTCCACTTGAACTTCTGATGCTGGGCATTCCATATTATCCAAGATTTCAGTGCGGATAGATATGAGAATCCTAATAATTATAAAATGTTAAATTACACGTATGTTTGATATTTATTTTGTGTTTAATAATGAATAATCATTTTTAGGCGGTACATTACCTTGCTCTATAGGAAACTCCCTCTCCCATTCCTACGTTAAGGTTAGCGTGTTGGTCTATCAAACTATAATCACGAGTGGAACCGTAGAGGTGTACAAAAGCAGGTCCAAAAGTTGGTAGAAATCCTGTTAGATAGAAAAATACCAAATATATAACTAACAAATACACTCATAGCTGTAATTCTAGATGGTAGTCAGCGGTAGTTGACTGACATCATTGTGAAGTACTCGATTCACTAATTTCAATACCGAAACTCACAAGAATCTTGCCTGCTTATTTAAAAAAACTTCAAAATTAAAATAAAGAAATTTATTTTAACTATTTAACGATTTACTCTTTTTGAGTTAAATAATTAAATATAAAAATATTAAAGTAATTAAATTCATCCCCATTTCTTAATAGAAGAGATTTCTACATAAACCAAAAATTTTTCGCAGTATTAAGAAGCGACATTGTTTACTATTTCTATATTTATTTTTGATTTAGTTATTAAAGAGCAGCATCATCTAATGTTTGTATGTCAGTATATCAGTAGATTCGGATTTGGAGCTTATTTAAATAAATTCCATAATCATTCATCAGCACACTTGGTAAGGCTAGTGATATGCTTCTATAAAAATAGTAACTTAATATAAATTGAATATTACCTTTTTCTCCATCGTTAGATATAGTTTTCAAATCTATGAAGTGCGTGCCGATAATATTCGGGTGGACAGGATCGTTGTCTCTCAACTGGATCTTGATACGTTGACAAAGTGGTGGGAACATTTCAGTAAATACGATCTGTTCATTCCATACTGGGGTGTAAGAATTTTTCTTAACTGATGTGCAACCCTGAATGTAAATTAAAAGTGCTTTAGTAGCCAAAATATCCACAATTCGTCAGATTTAAAGCTGACATGGTATGTATCATTTTATAAAGTATAGGTATACAATAATTACACATTACTAATAATAGGTGCTTCACACGTTCTTATGTGTGAATGGTAAAGCACTACGACCCATGTATGAAGCAGTTTGTTTCGTTTATGTCTTTAAAATATTCTTGTAAGCTTCGTTTGACATTACAATTTCCAGAGGGAGACTTTGAACAAAAGTCGATCGCTTGGGTACCTCTGTCCCATTCGTGTTTCTACCGTGAAGCAGCTGTGTTTGCATGGCTGTGTTTCGGTTTGAAGGGTGGGATATGGCGTGAATTTACTGGGTACAGAGAAATAACACCTGAGTTCTCAGGAATGGCAACGAATGGGGGGTATCATGGGCGAAACAGTATACTCTGTTATATCCAAGGTACTGCTCATGTCTATAGGCGACGGTTACCACTTTCCATCAGGTGGACCGTCAGCTTGTTTGCCATTGTAAGTAGTATAAAAAAAAAATCAATGAAGACTTACAGTCATTCCAGCAAAGCACACTTGGACATAAGGATCTACAAGATCTTGAGTTTCGCCCGTGAAAGCTCTCTTCACGTTGGCTAAGATTGAGTAGTTCATCTTTGGCAGACCATCAGCTCGGTAGATCTTCACTATGAACTTGGCGCGCTGTCGCTCTATAGGCACGCCGTCTGGGAGCAATAGGTTCCTGAAGACATATTATACATTTCATTCACTATTATAATTCACTGCAACATTTGTTAATATTTATTTTCTATGACATTTAATTATGAGTGATTTATTTTATTTAAGAACTAGCTTTTACACGTAGACCGTGGTGAGAATATCTTTACTAACTAGGATAAAAAGTAGTCCATATTCTTCTCAATTCCATATAGTGCGTGTATTACAAATTTCATAGTGATCGTTTAGGCTGTTATAAAGTATGTTGGTGCTATAAAGTAACAAACAAATTCACTTTCGTATTTAAATATCCATTTTTTCAGTAAGGATTTATAAAAAAAGAAAATTAACCATATATCGTAGTGAAATTAATATGAGGTCACCAATAAAAGAGTACTTTTAATGAGTAATGAGAGTGTAATGAGACAAATCTGGATAACAGTTTCAGTTGGATAACAGTTCAGATCCTCAAATAACTGAAATATAAAAGATTGTGTTCCACAAAACACGGACGGACTACTGTTGTAAAATAATTTGTTTCAAAACTAAACCGATGTGTGAAATAATTGGATAAAAAAACAGCTTTGACGTCTATGTACTGATTTCCCGGTCAGGTCCCCCGGGTGTGGCCGGCGGTCGGCCCACTCGATGCATGTACAATAAGCTCATTTTATAACTTATTACATTATTTATAACATAGTTTACTAGTTAGTTCGCTAACTAATTGACATTATGATTATTTGTATGTTATTTTTTTTATATATTGAAAATATTTAAAATTGGACAAAATGATTATAAGAAGACAAAAGAAAATTTAGAATATTTAATATTTGATCAGAAAGTAGATATCTGTTGGAACATCGAGATTACATTTTCATTGGATGTAACTGAAAGATTTTAAAATATTTTTCTATACCAATATATTTACAATTCTTACTAATATTATAAATGTGAAAGTGAGTTTGTTTGTTACCTCATAGCGCCTTTATAGCCTAAACAATCACTATGAAAATTGGTATACACGCATTATATGAGATGGAGAAGGATATAGGCTATTTATCTCGATCATTATCATTGGAATATGTTATTCCAGTCACGCGGACGATGTCCCGGTTAAAGGCTAGTTTAATTATGTTTGTAAAATACGAATACCTAGTTACTAGGTATTACTTATGTGCGTAACGGAAAATGTACTTAATTATCTTTACGATATGTTTCAAGATTACACCGACCGTTGTACAATAATGTTTCTACTTACATAATTCCCGGGTGCCTCGTGACTTCCAGATTGCGTAGACCGTATAAGATAAACCATGGAACGACCATTTTCTTATACTTCCCTCATATACTTACTTTCACGAGTTTAACCTCTATTACCACGAAATATAATACGCATTTCACGAAAATTCGTTTACAAAATATATCACTATATGAATTTCAATTAATATATAAATGATCAAGTGAAGTGCATATATTTTATTTATTGAACAAATTATACTAAATGAATAAAAATACAAAAAAAAAAATAGCATCTATCCTTCTGGACTTATTCTGGACGTATATACTCGTAAGTAATGGAGGATTATTGATCCCATAAAAAAACTGTATGAGAAAAACAGTTATTTTGATTTAAAAATTAAACTACTGAAAAGATTTTGATAAAATTTCTATGTGAATAATTTCTATGTATTTAATTTTAAATAATAAAAGAATTTTCCAAATTAGTTTTAAACTAAGGGAGTTATGAGGTAATAAACATAAAAAATACAATCAAATTAAGAATATCTTTCTTTTTGAAGTCTATATACTTATACAACACAATGTCAGGACTCCTTCCACAGTAGCTACAGGTATATATGTCATTGTCAAATAGTCAATATTGGGTTAGGTTAGTCGATTGATTAAATTGGGTCCCTTAAGTTCTATCGAAAGACGATAGACAAATTGACATTATGCCCGCTGCCCGAACACTTACTCTCAATGATTTTTTCGATTCATGTCTGAAGTTTAAATGATGTTCTTAAAATTAATTATACACATACATGAAATAAATATATATCTTATTATGTTGAGACCCATGTGGTGCTTTCTAGGAACTAATGACTCTAAATTCCTAGTTAATAAGATCACACTGTGAAAATAATGGATGAATGATTAGAAGCAATCTTTTTTAAGATAACTTTTGAATGAGAGGAATAATTATAAGCAGTGTGATCGGAGTTGTGATAATGAAATTATATTGAACTATATGGAATGGTGTTGCGAAAAATCACAAAAAAATTATGTCTCTCATATCCGAGTATGACGCATCTGGCTGCCGAGTTTGTATGGGAATTTAAAATTTTTTGTTCCTTTCTGACTTAAGTTTTTTGTGTTTCTCGGATTGATCGTTAAAAACATGGTCAAAATTTTGATTTTATCTTGTATATATATGATGTCTATTAAATTCGTTCTGTGACAATCTCTTGTAAATATCTTGAGTTTTTTCCACTAAATTGAGAATGTACATAACAAATATGTTTTACTAATGTATTGTGCTGATTATATCAATAAATAAAAAAAAAACGCGGACAATATAGTGAACTAACTAAAACATATTACATACGCTTCAATATCATCTTCGTCCTTTTCACTCTTGGGTGGGATTTTGACGGTGTCCCCTTTGCCAATAACACTAATGTCACATTTTAGGTAACCTTTGGCGCCCGCTGCTACGTCGACAGGATCTGTTAGTAATGCCCACTTGTGGTAAAACTGGCGGTCTACGAGGAAAGGAAAAAAAAAGTTATTAAATTATTTATATTAGTAATATTTTAATAATTAAGGAATTACCAATAAATAATATTAATAAATACATATACGTTTAATTAAAATTAGAAGTAAAAAAAAATTTGCTTCGAAAATTAAACAACACGACTGACCTGACAAAAAACAATTATGAAAGAAATTATAGCCAGCATTGTCACTCGGGATGATGTAAGAATTCTAAAAATATGCATTTGAGTTTGTTCTGGCATTTTTAGCATTTAGAAGTTATGGTGATTCTATTTTTGGGAGATATCAACAAATAAAATTGTAATACCAATAATTTCCTCTGTATCTCGAAACTGATAATGATAATTCTTATTGCAGATGATATTTATTCTAGTATAGATTTCTTGTTAAGATTAAAGTAGCATTGATTAAGTTCAGTTACATCTAAGTGCTTTTTTGTGGAGTTAATTATTATTAATTATAATTATTACATTCAAATGAAATATTAAGTTTACCTAAAAAAAATTGCAACAAAAATTAATAAAAAATATGTTCAATTTTTATTAATTATATTGCAGACTACTAGATCCGTGTTAATTTAGAAAAAGTATTTGAATTATTTTCTAAACTGGCACGAGAATCCCGGGCTGTATTATATACCGGCAATATATATTTAGCTTAAATATTAAGCTATGGAATTAAAGGAATTAAAATTAAATTATTTGCAGACTGTTGCTCGACGTTATTCGATTACAGAGTTTTCTCATCTAATAATATTAAAGTCAAATTTTAAATGTTTCATCGTTTAAAATTTTACTTTTGAAAGCCTCTTTTATGATTCTTCAGAAGCTAATCCAAATTCCAAGGTAATCCTGTTTGTAAACAAAGTTACGCGATGCTTTGAAATAAATAATTAGGGGAATTTAAAATAACAAAAAAGTGTATCATTATTTTTATACTAGCTATATTTCGTGGCGTTGCCTTTTTGAATAAATCTAATTGTTTATATAGACTTGTAGATATATACTCAAATTTACGTCTGCGATAGACAAACAAATAAAATTAGATTTTTTTTATTGTGCCCTATTTTTCACGCAGCATTTACAATTTGAATTTCAAATTATCTATGGTGTTGGAATCTAAAGCCCATCAAAAGCAAATATATTTAATTTATTTTAGTTCATACATGACTTTTTCTATTGAGACAATTTAAATTTAGTACTCCAATTTGTATTACAAAGAAGCATGTAGTGTGCAAAATCCTTTATTAGCATTCAAAGCAGATGAATTAATCTCTTCTGTATTATTTTTAGATTTTTTAGGTAAAGACTGACATATGATTTTGCTGTTGTTATTATTCTGTTAACATTTTACGAAACCACTAAAAAATATGATGATATTGTATTTACACGTACAGTGAAATATTTATAAAAACTTTAGGTTCCATTAAAACAACTTTCTGAGCGACACAGGCACGTTAATTACAGTTAGCTGCAAGTTAATGGACCTCGTACCCTTAGAGGACTAACGTAGTCATATAGTGCAAGCTGCCTAGACATATTTCTGTTAAAAGCCAGCCACCGGTCCCCGAGAGGCAGTCACCCCCAGTTGCTTTATTGTTTGCAGTTTGCATTGTCTGTCAATTTCCAAAACTATTTATTTAAATTATCATGTTTCTGAATGATTATTATTTATTACAGAAACAGAGATTTTCTATTGTTCTAAAAAAGTAAGACAAATGTCATTTAAATACTAATAATAATAAAAAATAAATAAATAATATAATAATTAGAATTTTCAAAAATAATATATAATCTATATTACTCGCTACTACTTACTAATAATGTAGCTTGGCTATAGGGGCTATATATTGGCTATAGAATTTTTAAAATCAGTTGAGTAGTTCTTGACTTTATCCATTTCGAAAAAATAATCATACTCGTATTTTTCCTCATTATAATATTATTATTTGTTATTTGGTAGTTGGCCCGGCAAACCTTGTATTGCTCGTTTCCACCACCAACTGCGTCCATTTTTTCTTAAAGGAATATCAACTAACTCATATTTCAAATTGAAGCAAACAATAAATATTTTTTTTTTTATTTATTATTTCAGATTTCCGAGCATAACGTGAACGAACATTGTGACACGGGATTTTTATATATTAAGATTTAGCTTTTGTATTTCCAAATATCTTTTATTATAAAATTTAAAGATAAAAAATTTCAGAGACCATTTTTATTCGTAAAAATGACCAAAAGATACCACCACAGAAATAATCATTTTTAGATAGTAACTATTTTACAATTTTTATTTTATATCATATTTAACCTGACTTAATTCTACCAATTATTATAAATTAAAACCATCGGTAGAAGAACTATATGTATTTATTGTCTGAATAAAGGTCAAAACTATACTTATTTATAACTAAATACATCTGCAGGTCCATCGAGGGGAAACTTAGTAGGTCAATGTATGTGGTCATTAAATCGATTTTTTTTTATAAATAGGCATCATTTACCTAAGATATTTTTAATATACTAAATACTAGCTTTTGCCCGCAACTTCGTACACGTGAATTATTAAAGTATACAACAGATATTCAAGAATATAACTTTGAAAACTACACTCGATTTTGTGTTGTACTTTGTGCGTAATGTCAGAGTTCTAAAATATATACTTTTGGCTTTTATTACGTCAATTAAAATCCTTGATACCAATTTTTCTTAAACATTGTCTAGTTACAAATTTATTATATTAGTATAAGATCTATAATATCTACAAAACTAATTACGTCTGTAGACGTAATAATGTATTATTAATGTCTACATTGTAGATTAGGTACAACTACTCTAGAAAGCAACGCATAACAGACTACTCAGATATATAATATAAATAGAATTAGATAATAGAAACTTTAGTAGCTTAATTTATATGAAAATTAAGGGTTTCACTATTAAACTACTGGCGGTTATATCATAAAAGCTTTTTAATATTAGCAAACTTTTCCTGAAAAAACATCCTTTTGAAAACCAAATAATGTTCTGGCAAATAAACAAATGTATCTATCTATCTATCTAATAGAATTTGTACTACAAAATGAAACACCGAATTCAATCGGAGCAAAATCAGTTATTTTGATAAAAACCAAATTATTGAACCGATTTAGATGAATTTTCTATAAGACGAAGAATAATTTTCCGAATTGATTTATAAATATTGAAGTTATAATATATATATATATATATATATATATATATATATATATATATATATATATATATATATATATATATATATATATATATATATATATATATATATATATATATATATATATATATATATATATATATATATATATATATATATATATATATATATATATATATATATATATATATATATATATATATATATATATATATATATATATATATATATATATATATATATATATATATATATATATATATATATGAGACAGCAACTTCTAGCGTCTCGTTCCCTTTCACGTGATGATAAGAATGTATCTACCTATAGATTCGTTGGCCATTTATTCAGAGAGTCTGTATCAATATTCAGCCGAAAGAAAATATGCTTTATTAAGCATACATTAGGTCTAAAACCGGAAAGTGCAAGCGGTTGCGAAATCTATTTAAATCTAAATCTATGCAGAAAGCATAATCATTACTATTTTCACTTAACCATACTCGGCGGAAGACACGTGCTGGCATTCATCCGCTGTCAGGATGTTCTGAAAATGTGATATTGAAAATAGGCGTGTAAGACATAGTAAGAACATGCTAGCAAATTATATACAGGTATAGAAAAGTTATAGAAACGAACATCAATGCATAAAGTGTTTATAGATTATAGCGAAGCTTTCAGTTACGCACACAGAAGTATCTGAGAGCAAATATACGCTTTTTTAAGGCACCAGCAAAAGGAATCTTTAAATACAATGTATCCTTCAGTTCAGGACTTTAAAACTGTTCCAATTAGAGTTTACGTAAATTGGGTTAGCGTATGAACTTGCTTTACTGTACCTTATATTACTGTACCTATATTTTTAACAGTTTGAGGTACTTCGTTGTTTTTTTGTTTTTAAGTATGTATCTTGAAATTGTACTAAATATTAGGTAACCGCAGTCCTAGCCGCCTAGTTACAAGTCTGACCTACTTTGGGTACTGATGGTAATGCAGACTTTTACAATGCAACTGTAAATGATATTTCTGTTCTAACTCTTTGTTATTTATATTTGGTTATAAATACATTTTTAATTATTTTTACCAGACTTTGCAATGCAAATGAAGGTAATGTGTTTATCAGTTTTCTCGTATGTATGAATATACTTTGTGGTACTCTAGAGCCCAAATACGTAGGTTGATTTGTTGATTCTTAGGTCAATCTATTTGTTTCAATCTAACAAGTGTCACTAAAGACATGATAGTAAATAAAATTCAACATGGCAACAACATACGAAAGAAAAAAGTCAAAGTCGATGAATGATATATGAACTGATCTATAGGTTTCTCTTATCATATTTCTTTAAGGATTTTTAACGATTTAAATTTGCTTCTTTCTCACTTCAATTTTCAATAATAATAACGATCAATGATTTTTATTCAAGTAGACTTGAATCTACCGCCCATTTCAGAATGCAATTTAAGCTGAGAAGAACGGGCGGAAACACAGCTGTTGCTTTTTTTCAAATAAAAGTAAAGTTTACAATAAAAAATATGAATAGATGAAATGACTATCACAAACTTTGTATTGATAAAATAAAAAGAATATAAATAACAAAATACTTATATGTAATAATCGATAATCGGGTGTTTAGTTTATATATATATTTGATTTGTGTATTTGATATAGCCTAAACAAATATAAGATATATCTATTTGGATCTAAGAACATCATCTCATCAAAGGTAGTGTTGATAATAAGGTAATACGATACCGTAAAAGTCTTTCGATATTATTTTTTCTAAATAATCCAATG